GAATAAGCGACAGGATGCTGCGATCAAATTCGCCAATCGCCGATGCATACCTGCAACTCTTGAAGAAGGAGACTGTGTCCGGGTTAAGATGTCTGAGTTTTCGGATGAAGAAAGTGGGTTTCGCAAGTTACTCCCCATGTACTCTGGCCCTTGGCAGAGGTTGTAGGGGATGATAACTTCGGCCCTTCGTATGTTGCCAACCTGCCTCCTCATCTGCGCACGTACCCAATAATTCATGCAACTAAGTTGCATCCTTACACTGCGTCTACTTCCTTTCCTGATTGTGATCCTATGATCCCTCATGATATTGATGGTGGATAAGACGTTGACAGAATTGTCACTCACACCCGCAAGGGACGGGATAGACAATATCAAGTGCATTCTCTATATCGTCCTCTTGATGAACTTTACTGGATTTCCCATGAAGTCCTGATCAAGACTGCACCTCGCATAGTAAAACCATTTTGAACGTCATGAGCATCTTACCCCGCATGAACAGATGACAGCCCTTGTTGCATTCTCTGCCTACGATTAGTCTAGTCGCTCGAAGGGACCTCGCTCTTAAGGGGTGGGGGGGGGTGTAATGACCTGCAAAATTCCCAACTGAGAAGTCTGTTGCTTTTAGAGTATTGCAGCATGCTAGACTGATTTGATGAGATTTCCGTGTTCTGATGAGTGCTGGCTGATATCCCCTATGTTCGCTATGTGTCTGAGAACCTGTATGTGTGTGTGACCTGCTGTTGAGGGATGTGTTGATTGGGCTCTCGGGCCAGTACTTACCTGTGGCCGTGTGACTTGTGGGGTTGAAGCAGGGAAAGTAGAATAGAATAGGCCCGCAAAGCCCAGATATAAAGGAGTAGCAGGTAGGTAGGCAGATAGGACAAAAAGATAGTACCTTTGTACGCCGCTGATGCAGTTTTGAGGCCCGATAGGTTTTTCAGTACTGGAGGGGAAGAGCCTTGAATGTGAGCCTGAGGACTGATATCCAGCTGCAGGGATGTTTCCCACCAAAAAGAGGGAACCTGTAGGCCTTGGAGGTTGCCGCGATTGCTTGGAGGCCGCAAGCGAAGAGGCACCGGTCCCGTACATCAAGGGAGAGGGTGGACAGTTCACTTTAATTTGGGTGTGCAGCTTGGAGGCATGTTGCTGGAGCGCAGCGCTGGGTGGAGGAAGGAGGCGGAGCTTGACCCCCATCACGATGATGGTGGAGGGGACCAAGGTGGAGGTGGGAGAAGGCATAGCTATGGCAGAGCCGTAGGTAGGAGGAAGAAGGAGGAGGAAGAAGGAGGAGGAAGAGGGAGGAGGAAGAAGGAGGAGGAGAAAGAAGAAGAGGAGGAGAGTGGAGGAGGAGCTTACCTTGGCTATGGTGATCTGCATCTTCATCTTCTTTGATGGCGCTGAACCCATAAGGCCCCAAGTGGGGTGATACTTGGAAGGAAGACTCCAAGGGTAGACTGCGGCATGGCAGCCATAGTGAGAAAGGCAGAGTAACTTTGCGTTGTCCTCTGAATATCGGAGCTAGGCTCTGATGGTTCGCCATAGCCACCGGCTTAGCCAAGTAGGAGAAGGTGTAGGGGGGCTATGGTGGACTTCTTGAGTGGCTGGGAATGAGGGGAGGGTTCGAAGACTGATTCTGGTTCATTCGATCATTGTTGTTGTTGATTGTCTCTATACTACTAAAACGAAAAACGGTCCTCACGTGACACTTTGTGCAGGCCCAGGAGAAATCAGAGAGGGAGGTGGTACCTGTGGGCCACGTTGCACTTTTCTGCCATGTAGTTCAGTGCATATTCACAGAGGGCTTTTCGCCTGTGGACGTGATTCGGGTCACATACATTGGAAAAAGTGCTGGCGTGACCCTCCCGTTTCTAGTTCGCATGGACATTGTTTCGTTTTGTTTCTTTTTCTGGCCTTTTGTCGTTTTGTGCTGGCTGCCCACAGTTCCTCTGTTTCGATTTTTCCTTCCTTCGCCATTTCAAGGTGCGGTTTCGCAGATTGCGAGGCTTGAGGTTCGTGGCCTGTCCCAAAAGTTCAAACACAAGTACATAGCAGGTCGATTCCAGGTCATAGCAAAAAGCGGAAAAGATCTAAGTGCCGCATGCATCTGACCGCAAAACATCATAGAAGAACAGTTGGTGGGTGTACCACGAACCACATGGCCAGTTTTTCCGTTTTTTTCTTCGGGGGGGGAGGGGGGCGGAGTACCGCCCACACAGAGCCAGCCAACATAAAGCCATCCAATCCACATACCATGACCCACCCTGCATAGAGCCACCTGACCTGCATATTATCCACCTTTAAGTCCGAACAGATGAATCTGAACACACCATCACGTCCCAAATGTGGTAGAAAGAAGGCCATGCTGTGAGTATGCCGTAAGTGTTGTTCTTATGCAGGAATCGAGCTCTGGTCTGTGTATCAGCAGGTTGCTGAGTGTACCATTCAACCACATGGCTGGTCTTTTCCCTTTTCTTTGTGCCGGCGGGGGGGGGGTACTGCCCATGCACAGCCACCCAACATCATGCCATGCAGTCCACATACTATGACCCCCTCTGCGTTGCGCCCCCTGACCTGCACAGTATCGCCTGGGCCACATGATACCACCAAGCCCACATAGTATGACCTGCCCCACATACTGCCGGCCGACCCACTTAATGTCACTCAGGACACATTATACCGCCCTGCAGGAGGGGCAGAAGGGTGAGACAGGGGAGGAGGGGTGGGAAAAGAATGTAGCAGAGGAGGACGAAGTGGCCTAGGAGGAGGGCTATGGGGGAGCAGGATGGAGATGAGGTGGCAGAAAACGGGGGGGAGGAGGTGGCGGAGGGACAGGGGAGACGAGGAAGAGCAGGTGTGTTCCATGGGCGTAGCCGCGGCAGGCAACCGCTTGCTATTATTGATACGATGTTGGAGGAGATGCTGGAGGTTGAGATGGTGGCAAGATGAAGCGGAAGTGACATTGGTTCTTGCTTGTGTTCATCTTCTTCTTCTTCCATTCTACATTTGTCTTCCTCGCATGCCTATTTCTCTTTTCAATCTCTTTCATTTCAGTTGCGATTGAACGGCATTGTCTTTCTTTGAGTCTATGCACTGTGAGATACCCAGGATCTTAACACACACACACAGAAAAAAGAAGAAGCCAATAAGTCAGAGCAAGTGCGCATACAGGCACGTGGACAACAAAAAAGAAGAGAAGGAAGCAAACCGGCATGAAGAAAAGGGGGGGAAGTGAAAAAACTTCAAAAACGGGAAGCGAAAAAGAAACAAAATATCAAGTTATCAACTCACAACTACCATCTTCCTCCGACGAGAACATAAACTTAATATTGCTATATTTGTAGGCCGAAAGTTTCCCGAAATTCAGCAATAGTCACCATGTGTGTAATAATGACCCATCAAAACACAGACTGAGAACACTGCTGGTTTCTGAGTTCTGCCGATGGAATGGATGCCTTGCTGAGATCCCCGCATTTTGCGGAGTTTGCCAAGTCTGTGTGTGTCTGTGCTTGAGGGTCGCCGTGCCTGTCTGAGTGCTGGTCGGCCTGAGTGTGTGTGTGACCCGCAGGGGTACTTGCTTGCTTGAGGGCTCGTAGGGCCAGTACTTACCTGTGGCCGTGACATTGAGGGTTGCAGCGGGGGAAAACACTCAAGTGGCAGAGCACGAGGCCGCTACACTTAGGGCAGCGGGAAAAACACTCAAGTAGTAGGTAGGCCAGTACCGCACCAAGTAGCAGTAGATGTGCCAGGTACTTGAGGCCGAGCAGAAGAAGACAAAGTTGGCATTTTTAGAGGCCAGGAGCTGTAGGCCAGGTCTAGGCGGGTACCAGTCCAACCAGTCTGAGTCTAGGGCCTCTACGGGCAATATCAGAGTCTGCAATCATGTTTCCCTCAGAAAGGGAGGAGGTACCGGTTGCTTGGGAGGCCGAGCGGCCTGGAAGTCACCGCCCAAGAGGCAAGTAGGCTGCTATATCCTCGGGCTGAGCCAAGAGCTCAGCCTCATTCTTCAGTGTGCAAGTTTGGCGACACACTGCTTGGAGCGCTGGCTGGAGGGGCGCTGGGCACTACAGCGCTGCTGGGAGGAAGGAGACCAGGAGCTCCCACCTCGGCTATGGTGGAGCTCTACCGGTAGGAGAAGGAGGGAGAAGAGGACTGAGGGGGAGAGTGGCGAGGTACCTACCTGGCTATGGTGGACACCATCTTCATCACCTTGATAGGCACTGCATCTGGAAGGCCCAGTTGGGGTAGTGCTGCACCAAGGAAGCTCGAGGCAGAGTCAGGCATGGCGGCTTGATGAGCAGCGACATAGCCGCTTTTTGTGTTGTCCTTTGGACAGGAGGGCAGCGGCATAGCTGCTTTGGGTTGTCCTTTGGACAGGAGGGCAGATCCCTTAGTAGTCCGCCATAGCCTTGGCCTACACGAAGAGGAAGAGGAAGGGTGGCATGGCTATGGTGGACCTCATATTGTGCCTGCAGTAGAGGAGGGATTCGGACATTGATTCTGGTTCAGCCATTCAACATTATTATTGTTATTTCTTGTTTGAATAAGAGGAGGAGGAGATCAGGAGGAGGAGGGTGATTGGCGAAGAAGAAGAGCATTGTCATTGGTCTATTCTCGTGCACATCATCTTCTTCTTCTTTCTTGTTTCTTCTTCTTCATTTTTCTTGTTTCTTCTTCTTCTTCTTCTTTCTTGCTTCTTCTTCTTCTTTCCGTCTCTCTGCTCTCAAGTTCACTCATTTCTTTTTGCAATTGGACGATATTTTACTTTCTGATGAATGTGTACTTCAAAATTGGCCAGGATCATAACATGTTTTTTATTTGGGTGAAGATAGTAGTAGCAAGCACCATAAAGTCATAGACCACAAAAAAAGGGGAAACAAAAAAAACAGACCATAGTCAGAAAGACGTCAACAGACTGACAAAGGGAAAAGTGACAAAATGAAATAACAATTTAAGAAAGCAAAAAAGAGAGGATAGGATATGCAATGTAACATGCATAATACCTTCAGCCCCTCCATGATGTCATCCACCGCATTGTTTTCCTGGCACCCTTTGATAGCCTCCTTCAGTTTGGCTGCTTCAGAGTAATCTTCTCTCTCCACTGCCAACTGCATTTGCATCTGTTACCAACAACAAAGTGCAACAATCCCACCAGTCGATTAACCACTCAGCTTTTCTCTCGGTATGGCAACAATCCCACCAGTCGATTAACCACTCAGTTTTTCTCACACCATACCGAGAACCCACACCACTCTCCACAAAGAATCAACAACTGGAAAATCAGTTAATGGACTCAGGTTGCCTGCCGAACGGCAGCTTTTCTCACAACTAGAAAATCAGTTGTTGGTCTACTTCTTTTACTGGAATTTCACTGCATGAGGATGATCTTCAAATTCCTCGAGGTCATCTCTGGCCAAAAGTGTACATTATTAACACCACCACAGGGTGGATGGCGTTCGGTTCGGGCCAACCACCTGGACCCGAACGCCCGACCGTTCCGGCCCCCCACCAGTCCCTTTTTTTTTTAGAGTATTGCGGAGGGAGGGTTCTCCGCACTCCATATTTTTCCATTAAAAAAAGAAGCATGGAGGCAGGTTGCCTGCCGAACGGCAGGAACCCCTCCCGTGTGTGTGTGTGTGTGTTTGTGTGACGGGGGAGGGGGGCGACCTCCCCGCTACCAGCCAATCAATCAACCAATCAAAAAAAAGCAAAAAAAGTTAAAAAATGGAAAAAAGCACGAAGGACCATGCGCGCACGTGCATGCCGGTGTGTGTGTGTGTGTGTGTGTGTGTGTGTGTGTGTGCATGCGCGCATGCATGCATGCACGCGCACGGGGAGGTCGTCACGCCCACGGGGTGGGCGACCTCCCCGCTACCGGCCAATCAATCAATCACAAAAAACAACAATAAAAAGTGGAGAAAAACACCCACGGGGTGGGCGACCTCCCCGCTACCGGCCAATCAATCAATCACAAAAAACAACAATAAAAAGTGGAGAAAAACAAAGTCGCGAACGAGCACGCACGCGCGTGTGTGTGTGTACCGGCCAATCCATCAGTCGATCATTCAATCAATCAATCAAAAAACAATAAAAACGGTTGGGGGGAAAAAGGCCCAAACTTCTAGGATTTTTTCTGTTTTAACTCATCAGGTTGAAGCGAAATTTCAGGGGTAGGCGCACGAGGATGTGAGCTATCAACAAAAAAAAAAAAAAAAAAAAAAAAAAAAAAAAAAAAAGGGCCCGAAATGGGGTTTGGCGAGGCCCAAACCTCTTTGGAGACGGGCCTCGTACCCCTCCCCCCCGAACGACCGTTCGGGGGTCGACCCGGGGCCCCCCAAACTTTCGGCCCGGTAACCCTCACCACCATAATTCCATCCCAATTGAGCACAAGCCTGTTCTTTCTTTTTTTAATCCAACAGAAACTCATATTAACCAGGGCAAAAAGAGGCCGGGGACCTGGCTGCGCCAGTGTCATGATCATGATAAGATATATGGATACAATGTAAATAATGCAGCATAAGTGAAACCCCTGGAAGAATTCCGACGATTTGTAACGCGACACTTCAAGAGAGAAAAAGAACACTACTGTCTTCTCCCAAAGACAATCCACCCTAATCATGAATGGCCACAAGCTACATGCTTGTGGTCGAAAGTCAGTCATGACGAGTGTGGCTGATGGCTGAGAGGGACTTGAAAAGAAGGGAGAGACGAAGAGACAAGGGCTGACATGTCCAGCACAGGACGGCAGAAGGTGGTAAAGAGTGAAGCAGGACAAAGCCAGGCGACAGACTGAAGAGGGAGTTGAAAGGAAGGGAGACAGGAAGGGGCAAGAGCTGACATGGTGAGAGCACAGGGCGGCAGAAGGCCGTAAAGAGTGAAGCCGGAAAGAAGTCAGACGCCTAACGGAACGGAATGAGGGAACGGAGCCAGAATAAGGAGCGGGACAGCAAACGGGTTCACAAGGACATAAGATCGGAGAGGCAATCAGGCGACGGAGGAAAAGACTTCACACACAGAGAGAGAGAGAGAGAGAGAGAAGAGGAGGGGGGGGGAGGGAGGTAGACAAAGGCACGAGCTGGACGCTACACCGCAGGGAAGCAAAAGAGGGTAAATGTGAAGCAGAGATCAAAATAGGTGGTCGATGATGGGAGAATAGGGAGGCCAGTTTTTAAGGGGACACAAAAAGCACAGGATAGGGAGGAAAGGAAAGAAGCGATGAGAGAGAACAAAATAAAAAATCGTAAATGCGCATTTCCAAGGAACGAAGCCGACAGGGAGAAAGATGAAATAGCGGAGAGGAAAGCTGAGAAAGAACCACACAGCCTCGAAAGCGTGGGCGATTGCCGACGGGCGAGGGGGGAGGGGGGAGGGGGAAGGGGGGAGGGGGGAACACATTACCCGGAGACGGACTAGAATTGTTGACGTCTCGGAAAACCAGTGAGCGGAGAACAAGCGGATTGGGAACGAAGGACCTCGCTCCACTACTTTCCAAATGTGCATGTGGACATTTGGAGAGGGAGAACAAGCGAGGCCCAAAGGTCGGAGTGGAAAGAACGAATCGTCCTTCGAGACATCCGTTAAAACGGCAAAGATACAGAGACAGAGAGGATTTGCATGGCCCCTGAGAGGAGATGGACACGCAGAAATCGAGAAAGAGTGCAAATCTGTCAGAAGAGAAAAAGAACAAAAACGAAAAGAAAAGAGGGAAACAAATTGCAGAGACATATCAAATTCTTGGAACTAAAGTGCTTGGTTAATCGACCCACACACAAAAAAAAAAAAAAACTCTTGGAAAGAAAAATCGGATCGGTAAGGAACATCAGGTTCGAAAATAGATCAGATTGGGAAAAGGGGAGGGAAATTAAAAAAAAAAAAAAAAAAAAAAGGGTAAATGGAAAATGGAAAAAGGAAACGACTATCCTTCGGGCCATCCGTTAAAATTGGAACGATAACGAGAGAGAGAGAGAAGATTAGTATGGCCCCTGCGAAAGGATGACACGCATACATCGAGAAATGGTCCAAAAACCGAAAAAGGAAACGACTGAGGGGGATGACAAGGAGCAGGAGCAAGACAGGGGAATGGAAAGGAAACAAGCCTAGAGAAGGAAAATGAACAAGAGATGAGAAGGAAAGAGGGGGGGGGGGGGTTGAAACAGAAGGGAGACGAAACTGGACAAAGAGAACGATAAGAGGAGTAAAGGGGCAAGAGAGGAAGCGCATCCGCCAGATGAAGAAGGACGCAAGCAGCGGAAAAAAAAGGATACACGAAGCGATACGAAAAAAGAATGACGCAATCTCAGATGAAGAAAAGGCAGGAATTGCGCTAAATCCTCAAGAGACATGAAAGGGGAAATGAGTGACAACAAGGGACGGTAGGTAGGTAAGATGACCAGCAAAGAAGGAACGGCCAAGGCAATGCGTGACAACAAGGAACGAATGACCTCCCCTGGTCAGAGAGAATCAGACAGAAGCACGAAGGGATCATGCGCAGCAACTTGCGTATATCCTCTCTCTCTCTCTCTCTCTCTCGCGCGCGCGCGCGTGCACGTGTGCGTTACCCACAGATGTAAGTTTCCACCGGTTTCCATTTCCACACGATTTCCTCTGCGTTTGAATCAGACAGAAGCACTAAGGGATCATGCGCAGCAACTTAAGTATATCCTCTCTCTCTCTCTCTCTCGCGCGCGCGCGCGTGCACGTGTGCTACCCACAGATGTACGTTTCCACCGGTTTCCATTTCCACACGATTTCCTCTGTGTTTTCCACTCTCACCCCCGTTAACTCCCTCCCGCCCTCCTCTCCTCTGTCACACCGCCACAAGCATGCTCCTTTTCCGACTAGTCTGACTCTTGTTAGGCCACTTTTGACTCTTTTTCGAATATTACTATTTTTCATCGCACTTCCCCTTACTCTGCAGACGACAAGTCCTTCCCTCTAAGATCTCCGCTCCCTCACTTTCAATATGGTATAACTATTTTACTATATCGGTCTACTACTACAACGACTACTACTACTACCGTCTTCACCGGCATAGAACAACCGGTCATTATAGCTGTATATGGACTGAAAGTTGAACCAAATACAGGTATGATGACTGAGCCTTCTATTCGGATGACGACGGTGGCGGTGCTGATCGTTGTAGTAATACCACCACTAATCATGTATTCCTTTTTTTTTTTTTTTTTTTTGGTTATGTTGACGGGATTGCATCATCATGGACTCTGTTTGAGAGGCTGTATAGAGGAAACATAGTGATTAGATCATCTGTTGAATGATAAAGTGTAGTTGATTCGAATCTCTACAACGCAATGGCAGACAGCTGCTACTCCCATCGCTCTTGTATTTTTCCTTCACGAGTACCTGTAACATGTGGTCGTGTTAAAAAAAAAAAAAAAAAAAAAAAAAAAAAACATGATGGACTCTGTCATCAGTAAGCCCCCAAACGTCCAATGCGACGGACAACCACTACATCTTTCTTGCCTTTTCTTTCTTTTAACAATTTTCTTGCCTTTCTTCCTTTTTTCCCTTTTTTTTTCCTTTTTTTCCCCTTTTTTTTGGTTTTCTTTCTCCCAACCACTACTCCATCATCTTGTGGCCAGAAATTATCATTTTATACTAGCCGCGTCCCACGACAACTGCAAGACAAAGGGCCTCGCCGCACAGCTCAACAAATTTGTAAAGTGGAAAATGTATCTTTCGCTGCAACGTGGCAAAATACACCCACCATAGTTCGTCTTTTCACATTTGGTCACAGGTGTGGCGAGGCCCAAACCCCCGTTAACTTAACACTGTACAGGACTCTGTCGCCATAAGAACTCTTTAATTTTTTTTAAGTTCTCCAGAAGAAAGAAGTGGACATCAAAACATCATACGGTATTTCATCCTGGACATCAAAAACATCATACGGTATTTCATCCCCGCCTGAACAAAAAAACAGCACGCGCACAAACGAGTTCCCCCCCGAAAGTCCCACCAAAACGTCAACGGAAAATGCATTTTTTTAATTTTTCGAAAATTTCCCCCCTCTAATATTGCAGTAATTCGAACTTCGAAGTAATCATGAGAATCAGAAATTAACACGCTTATCTCTTTTTTTTTTTTCGGTTAGAAAAATTTGGACCATTTCTCGATTTATGCGTGTCATCCTTGCGCAGGGGCCATGCTGATTCTCTGTATCGTTCCAATTTTAACGAATGTCCCGAAGGACATAACACGCTTATCTCAGGGGGCTGACACTACAAAGGTTAGAAAAAAAAAAAAAAAAAAAAGCTAGCGGGAAAGGAGAAGGATGAGGAATGAGGAATTTGAATAAGAACTGCCCACGACTATCGTCGCGATAGTAATGCAACAATAACAAAAGAGTAAATGGGATTATTGCATAAAATGAGAGGATCAGTGAACGAATGAATGAACATACACTTCAACGAAGAATAATAATAGAGGTGTAGTGGTCGTCATAGTAAGAGCAGTAGTGGTAGTAGTAGGAAGAGGAGCAGCAGGAGGAGAAGATTCACAGTACTACTGGTAGCAGTAGTAGTAAAGGTGGTAGTAGGTGTAGTGTAGTAGTAGTCGGAGTAGTGGCCGTAGTGGTAGTTAAAACTAACAATTTGTATAGTCTGCTTTCAAAAACTAGTGTACCAATCTATACTCATAATTTCATAAACTCTTTCCAAAATGAAGGAAAAATAGACATAATCATTCAACTTATCAAAACTCAACATTGCAAAACTGAACATTGGTCAGCGCTGAGTTTGAGGAAGCAAGATACATCGTTAGTGGTCGTTCAAAATAACAATTTGTAGTCTTCTTCCACAAAACTAGTGTATCAATTTATACTCGAAAACTTCTTTCCAAATGATGTGAAAGTATACATAATCATTCAACTTATCAAAACTCAACATTGGTCAGTGCTGAGTTTGGAATCAAGATACATCGTTAGCCAAGTCATTGGTGGCGGTTGGGAAGTTAGTAGTTGTTGGTGATGGTAGTAGTAGTGGTCGTACCAGTAGCAGTAGTCATCGTAGTAGTCGTCATGGTAGTGCTAATGACAGTGGTGGTTCTAGTAGTTATAGTGATGGGGTTGGTAGTAGTAGTAGTAGTAGTAGTAGTAGTAGTAGTAGTAGTAGTAGAAGTGGTAATAGTAGTAGCAGCAGCAGCAGCAGGAGTAGTTGTAGTAGCAGCAGTGCTGAGTTTGGAATCAAGATACATCGTTAGCTAAGTCATTGGTGGGGGTGGGGGTGTTAGTAGTTGTTGGTGATGGTAGTAGTAGTGGTCGTACCAGTAGCAGTAGTACAAATGGTGGTAGTAGGACTAACGATAACGATGGCAGGCAATAGCAGCAGCAGTACACTGCCTCCTTGACAAAATGGTCAATGGAGAGGGGAAACTGACGCATTGTAGACACCATCAACAAGGAGGGGAGAGAGCAGAAAGAACAGGCGTAGGAGAAGCGGGAGAGTAGAAAAAAGGATCAAATTTCCGATGGCCTAAGGGGCAAACCAGCTGAATAGTTGAAAAAAAAAACAACGGGGAGCCCACACAGCCCAAAGGTAGTGTGCGTCTGCGTGTGAGGGAGATATGTGAGAATTAACATCTTCTTTATTTGTGAAGGCGCTTCTCGGACAATTTTCTTTCGTTGCAAAATCACCGCATAGTCGCAGACAACATTTTGGATCTTCGTTATATCTCTAGAACTGAAAAAAAAAAAAACAAGAAGTGCCGACGTGGATCCCGCAAAAAAAAAAAGGACGCCTTTTTGGCAAAAAACGGCAATAAAAATGTCCAAGCAGACCCCTTCCCGTTGGGTGGTGGCAAGTTCGGAAAAAAAAAAAAAAAAAAATCCAGAATAGACCCCTCCCCGGCGAGGGTTGCGATTGCAGACGGCGGGAGAACTACCGATAGCGAAATCATACCCTGAATGCGAGGGATGAAAGAGGGGCAGACTTTCCCGCCAAGATATGAGCGACGCACTTTCCAAAAACAAACTGAACGCACCTTTCCCGCTAACACACGTCCCGCCAAGATATGAACGACGCACGTTCCAAAAACGGATACCAAGAGGAAAGTGAAACGCAATTTTCCCGCCAAAATACGCGCACATATGAACGCACCATAAGAATGTTTTCAAAGTGTAATAATAATAATAATAATAATAATAATAATAATAATAATTTTTAAAAAAAAGTGAACGCACCTTCAATGCCTTGACAAGGGTATCTCTTTCCTCCACCTCGCCAAAGACACTTTGCCACCTTTCCCATTCCGACTGCCCTTCCTCTTCCTCCTCGTTTCCCGCGCAGCCCCCTCCCTCTACGACACTTGCAGTTTTGCCCCTCAACGCGTCCATTTGTTGTTGCAGGCGCTTTGAAGTTACGCTCATCATGTCCCAAATCCCCTCCCTCATTTTGCTGACACCATCCAAAGGTGGTGGTCCCCCACCAGCCACGACTTCACCTCCCTCCCCCCCCACGCCCCCCCCTCCTTTCTTCGCAACCGTCGATGACGGTACTTCCCATCCTGATTCTGGTGACGACGATTCTTCTCTCTCTCTACTAGTACTACTAAATCCGGCGGGAAGATTCCCTCCCTCTCTCCCGCCATCTTTCGTCGTCCCCGATCCCGACGACTTCCCTGCATCCCCTTCTCCGTGGTCTGCATCGCCCGAGCCGCCGTCCCTGCCCGCCTCGCACCGACAATACCGATTAGAACGCCCCGCCTTCCGTAGGCCCCTGTTGTTCCCGCCTTTCGGGGTGAACACGTCGCCAGCATGATTTTTCGCCGCCGTAATTCCTTCTCCTCCTCCACCTCCTACTCTTGTCCCTCGTTTGTCAAAAGCGGCCACCGACGATGACGAACACGCTGAGCAAGACGCGCCTGCCCCCGCCGTCGCCCGTAGGCTTGACACGTGTCCCAAATGTCGCCGTGAAGTGAAACTACCAATCGTCTCTGCCGCCCGTGCGCTCCCGCTCTTTCCCGCCTTTTTCCCACACCGAACATTTCCCGCCCTTCCGATGTGAATCAAGGACTCGTCACAAGCCGCCGCAGGTCCTCGCCGTTCCCAACGTGTCAACACGTGGTTGGTTCCCCAGCATCCCACGCTGGAGCCCCCTGCCCCCACCCCCAGACTACAACCCCCATGCAACCCCTCACTAGCCAGGCCCCCAATCATGCACGACGACGACGTCCTCACTAACGCCATCTCCCTCCCTCTCTCTCTCTCTCTCTCTCTCTCTCTCTCTCTCTCTCTCTCTCTCTCTCTCTCTCNCTCTCTCATGCGTGCACACGCACGCACCATGTCTCATGTCCTTCGCCATCTCCCTCTCTCTCTCTCTCTCTCTCTCTCTCTCTCTCTCTCTCTCTCTCTCTCTCTCTCTCTCTCTCTCTCTCTCTCTCTCCCCGCCGCCCCGTCCCGCTTACAATCCTGTTAAACCCCCCTGCTCGCCCACCTCACCCGCAGCCACTAAACCACGCCTGTCCCCTTCCACTCCCCGCAGGAGGACCCTGCTTCCTTTGCTCTCACTTCCCTGATAAGTGATTGGTGGAGGTCAACGCTGCTGGCCAACAGTTGACTTGGCAAACAAGCTACGCGCTTGACCGATACCTGACCCAATGGTCGAAGAGGAACCCAGGCTGCGTTCGTTTTGAATCGAGTAACGTTCGCGCCCTTCGAGTTCGTCGCAACGACGAAGCTCGGTGGCATCAGTTGAACCCTCCCGCTCACGACCGCGGTAGAGGACGAGTTGGCGGGAAATCCAACACCGAGCGCGCCAAGAATCACCAGTCCCAGCGCTCGAAACTGCGTCAACGATCTGCTGGCAATTCGCGCGCCCAAACGCACCCAAATTGGGCGGGAAATGGACGCCACCTTTGCAAAAAAAAGCTCGTCCTTCGTCAAAATCTAAGCGCGAAGGAGTCTGCTGCACACGCAAAGCGGCGGGAGAAACACAGCGAGCAATCGGCGGGAAGAACCTAAGCAATGCAGCCTTGACATCAGATCATCTGACAGCACCGGAGCCGCATAGCGTCAGATGCATCCAGTAGTGGCCGTAATTGCTGTCATATACATTCAGGAAAGTGTTCAGGTGTGTACGCCCTGAGCAGATATGCAGCATTCCACGTGGATCTTCTTAGCCACTGCTGTGACACAAAACGTTGACCGTTGATCAGTCCCGACATCCGCCATCTGATCCCCATTGATGCCGTACGGCAACGTGTATACGTATGTATATAGTCACAAATATAGTCGCCTACAAAAATACAAATATCTATATCTATATATATATCTATATATATAATATAGATAGATATAGTCACAAATATAGTCGCCTACAAAAATACAAATATCTATATCTATATATCTATATATATAATATAGATAGATAGATAGATACTCAAACAGAGCTGCCCGGTAAACCGTAGGCAGAGGGAGAAGAGGACAACAAACGAGAGGCTGTGACAAACTGTTTCGTCGGAGTTTAGAGAGAGAGAGAGAGAGAGAGAGAGAGAGAGAGAGAGACCGTACCGTACGGAAGTCGAGACACTACACTAACGGTCCCGCACAAACAATACCCGCCCGACCCAGTGACGAAGTTCAGACAAGCACCGACAGGTCAGCAGGTCTTCAGGGCCTGCCCACGCAAAGCAGCAGAGGCATGACAGATTAGAAGCAGAAGGCCACACGTTCTTGTAACACGTCGCGCCAGATGCAAGCGCACCAATTCGCTTCAATTCGCTTCAATTCGCTTCAAACGTGGATTTTCGGCAATCGACGGCTGCGATACGGCGCCAAGATTGGCCGCGACCAATGGGGAGACCCCAGCAGGAAGCAGTCTCTGGGCCTCATCTGTAATCAGCCGATCGATTGATCAGACTTTCTGAACCAAAGCTGGAGAGCGCCGCCCCTTCCCCCCTCGGCCGGGCTGTGCTATCTTCTTCTCAAATACTATAGATTTATTTTTATTTTTTTTTGAAAAAAGGGCGACGGCCTATAGATTTTGTATACATCTGTTTGACGATATATACATATAAATGGTATTTCGAGGCAAAAAATGAGATCCATTCTCGAGCGACTTTTTTCTTGTGTGTGTGTTTGTCATCTTTGCGCAGTGGCCATGATAATCTTCGAGTTGGCGACGGACCGAGGGACTTTTTCCAACCAACTGATGGATCAATCAGTCAAAAAATCAATCAAACACCAAAGGAAGGGAGGAAAACAGGGGCTATCTCCCGAAAAAAAAAAAAAAAAAAAAAAAAAAAAACAGGGGCTATTCAGCGGCCAGTGGGTAAGGCACGCAAGTGGCATTCAGTTCAGGAGGCCTCATGCACCTTCCTGGGCAAGTTTGGCGCCCGCCACCTAGAGATATGCCGTTGGTTCCCCCGAGTGGCATTCAGCAGAGACTGCTGATGCCCAAAGGGGGAGGGGGGACCGGAAGGGAGGCAGAAAGGCCTGAAAGGCCGTCCTGTCCTGATTCGACAGGTAATTGAATTGGTTGGGCTCTAAAAAAAAAGAAAAGAAAACGGGGGCTCTGAAAAAAAAGGAAAGAAAGAAAAAGGGGGTCCGGTCCTCATGCTGTCCTCTGCCTGTTAGCGGGCAAACTGGCACGTGCGCAACGAACCGCCAGAATAGAGCAAACAAAAAAGGTGGAGAACCACGCCTATGGGCCGCCGCACACCCCACCAAACACCCCACCAAATGTAAATGAGAATGAATCTTCTGCTAGAACGTGGAATATTACCCCACCCCAATACTTTGGTCCTTTTCACATTCGGGCGAGGGCCTATGATTCATTTCAGGAAAAAGTGAAAAAGTGAAAAAGGGAGAAAGGATGAAGCACGCTGGGTTCCACAGCGGGCCCGCACAACCGAAGGATCGTCGCACCTCTTTGACCGGATGGGATGCTCTGCGGCCATGTGTGAAAAGCTTATCGAAGGGCAGTGGCGGGAACAGGGAACCTAAGTTCGTGTGCAATTTATGTTGAACAGCGACCAGTCTTGCATTTCAGTTACAATTATCCAAACTCTAGTAGGGGTGGGGAAAAGGGGAAAAAATTGCGATTCGCAAAGATATGAGGTGAATCGTTTTCTGCCATTGATTTCGGGTAATTCGCCTTCACATGGCGCCACTGGATGGGAATAGCGGCGCCACTCTCTCCTATTTGGTCGAAAACGGTGAAGTGTCTGGTAGCAAGTCGAGAGATTGAGGCTACAGCTAACTGAAAACTACGCAGATATGCTAGTACCTAGTGACACATCCGATGCTGTTGAGACGGGCAATCCCAAGAATATTCGTGGCCCTAAGGCTGAGGTATACTGGGTTGCCGCATCTATGTCAAGATGGCATGAATTTGAGAGGGGGCGACCACTCGAAAACGGGTATATCAGGGGTGGAAATTGTGCAGTGACTGGCCCTTCGCATTTTTGCGGACCTACAATTATTGTCTACAGCGTGGGCATGGGGAACACAGCCCTAACGTAGCCAAAGCAATGAGACTAGGAGCGCACAAGAGAGAGAGATAGAGAGAAAGAGAGAGAGAGAGAGAGAGAGAGAGAGAGAGAGAGAGAGAGAGAGAGAGAGAGAGAGTTAGTTTTGTTCCATTTATTGTTACGAGTGTGAGAGAGAAACGGAGAGTGAGAGAGAGAAAGAAAAAGAGACAGAGAGAGAGGGAGGGGGGGGGGCTACCAGAGAGAGAGAGAGAGCACAAATGGAAAATGTGTCGAATCGGGGCGACGATTATTTCGCGGTCTAAATGAATTTTTGAAAATGTTCTAATATTTTTCCTGGAAAGAACACGACCTCATCTATGAATTCTCAAAATGTTCTAATATTGTTCCTGGAAAGAACACAAAAAATCGTCAAAATGGCCTCTTGCAAAACACTTGTTTCATTGCGCATGACCTCCCTGTTTTGAGAAAACAGGCCTCAATGCCTAGGTCTGAGGGCCCTTTTGCACTTCACATGCCCTCACTTCTTTTGGGGGTCCGCTTCCACTCGAGGACCGGTCCGTCATTTTTTCAAAAGTCCCGGTTCTACCAAAGCTAGTTGTAGGTAGTCCGTAATTTTGCCAAGGATCGGTCCCCCAATTTTTTTTGTCCCCTAAAAACCCACTTTGCGTCCTGGTCGCCCGCCGCCGAAAATTCGACACCTTGACACACACACCGAAGTCCACTATACCACAGTCTTAGGGCTGCGAATTGTTGTCTGGACTGATACATTTGAAAACAGTACAACCAATCATATTTTATGACTTGAGGCCCAAAGTCTTGGAAGGGTAGATTGTTTGAGGTCGCTCATTCTTGACAAACCGGCGGTGGCTATTAGGCTTGGCCGTAGATAGTCAACAGATTGTTGCAAAATGTTCTGACCTGACTTTGACAATTTTTCGTAATTAGAATAATTATGAAAAATCTGACAAATTCAGCCATGAAGATTTAGTATGATATTTCAATAGTATAATTGGGACTTTGGGGCCAGAAGGAAAGCAGCCCTAGAGGCCGTGGTCTTTCTTTAGGGGGAATTCTTTGTTATGCTCTTCAAACTTGGGTATACTTGCTTTGTCTCTCAGAAATAATATTTTCATCAGGTTCCTTTCAGAGGGCGTGCCAACTTTATGACATGCATGTCCCGACTAGAGGCAAGTCTTAAATCTCCGTTGAAGTTGAGAATGGTCATATGTTTCAAGCAATCTGAAGTTATTCTACAGGTATTGGTTGGGGCATGCTCAATTGATAAGTCGAAGTGACACTCGTAATATTTTGCAAAGTCACATTGTTGTCGGGGGGGCATATCACGATAAACCAATTGTCCGAGGGCATTAATATCCAAAACTCACAAAGAAACAGGGTTGTGGAACAAACAAAATATTGAATTATTGCCTCGACGATACGTTGACATTTTTAGTAAGTGCAATCTTATTCACAAAGTCACTTGAAAGATTAAATGATTTTATTTTTACAATTACAACTTGAATGTAATCAATAACCTTGATTTAACCAGACTTGCATGTTCATTTTCATGGTTGTGTTTATGCGCACCCATGTGTGTTTGTGTGTGTAGATTCATCTTTCTATCATAGAGGAATTGGAAGGCAAAAATAAGAGACTTAGGAAAAAAACTTGATGGTGCGACTAGTTGCACTACTTGTTAAACATAAAATATTGAGTGTATCTTTTATTTTTGAAGATGAGACCAATCAGTTGTTATTCCAGTTGCTCCCTAAGTGTCATATTTGGCCAGTGGTGCAGAGAGGCTCATTCACTTTGTCCTTCAACCACTCTTTGAAACTCATTTTTCTCAGAGAAAAATAGTTGGAAAATAAATTTAATCATTTAAATAATAAACAAAGGATAGATTTAGGTCAATTTGCAAGGGACATAATAGAAAGTATGATAAAGGAGAGAGGATTTAGTTGAAAGGGAATGTGTTAAAGTTCATGTTTTAAATTGCGCGTGGAAGATAACAATCATGGCTTAATAATTCTAAAAGTTTTTAATATAATCTTCGAAGATAATTGCAGTCTGACACATCTAAGATTGACCATAACCTCAGTCATATACATCAAAAAACGTCTCATTCACACAGTCACTCACTCACTTTGTCGACAATTTGTTTATAATTGCTACGTATAGTTATTTGAATATCTATAGCTTGAAAAAAATCGTACCTAAGGTTGTTATAACAACCTAACTGAAACTATGATTAAAACCCTTATTAAATTGTATGAGACACTGCGAAGGCTTAGTGGCAAAGCTCCAATTCCTTTACCAATTACGGGTATGACTAGAGTTGGCAACGAGCTAAATAAGGCATAGTTTTTGCTTTAACAACCTTATGAACAAGTACATAATTATTTTTCTATATGCAATTATTAGCGAGGTTTACAACGTAAATAAATATGGATATTAGTCTACCTTTGTTTCCCCTATGTTATTGGAAGCAATTTCACCTTTAAGTGTGACTCTGACCTAAATGCTACTCTGACTATATAACTCTCAATCACGTGTATGCGAAATTATCCCTTTGCTACCAATTTATATACTGCACATACACGTGGTTATAGCCTATAGGTCATTTACAACTACAACTTCAATGAGTAACAGAGTTGTTCTCCATAATTAATCCGTTAGTATTATTATTTTGTCCCCCCTACGATATTATTGTTTTATCAAATATATAATA